TCAAGTGTGATAGTTTGTGCCATCCAAATCATTTTTACTCATATTTTACCTCCATAATTCAAACAAGCAAAAGATGGCCAATACAACAAATTAACTGCAGCTTCTGGATTACCACTGGTTGATGGGAAGTAACACAATCTGACCTCACAACAAAACTTTCCCCACTTGAATGAATCTATTAGGGTAACCAATGAGGCAAACAAATATCAAGCCAACACAAGCTGTCCCCAAATCACTCATATCATCAATCAAAAAATAACACCATTCACCACACTGAAACAACAAATCTCTCTCTACGTGGAATAAAAACCTACTCCACGTGTGGTTAAAAACACTCTGGAGGACCTCTCTCCGTCCAATGGAAATTTAAAGTTCACTATTCACAAATATTGTCTTAAACACACCTTACAGCAAGCTCTCACAACCATCCAGAAAATATACTGTAGGCACTTATACACAAACAACCACAAATAAATGTGGTGGGAAACCACAATGAGTAGATCACAAAACACAGATTGTCTGTTCTCTATTACAATTTATACAAATGTGTCTACTCATCCAAAAATACAGACAACTCCGACTGACGGCCAGAAAATCAAGCGCTTGCGATGTTTAGAAACAAGTACTCTCCCCAGACTCCAATCTTCATGCGTGTGCTAATGCCGATACCAATAGTGCTCCTGACTGCGAAAACGCTGAAGGAAGATGAAGCTATGCAGAGCTAGAAGCAGAAACAAGACAGCTCTCGCGCCTCAGACCCAAGAATACTCAATCTCTGACTCCAAATGAAAAAAATCCTACGTGTCGAAATCAAAAAACAAGAGCAAAAGAAACAACATACCAAAAAGCACTAACGACCAACGGTGAAACTCAGGAATCCTAGAAACACGTGGCTGGTGCTTGGATTGGGGCTGTGACAGAAAACCCTCTCCTCTCTCTGTTTTTCTCAATCACGATTTCTGGTTGTATGCGATCAAATGGAGAGCAAAAAAATGCTGTTAGTTGAGGGGCATAATTGTAAAACAATAATTAGTTAGTGGACTTCAAAATATGGGCTTTTACCACATAGGAAGGGAACCCAAACCCAACATTTTTTTGGGTCAAAAACTCGATAAGGATCTCAATTATACTCTTATTGTCCTTATCCTAGAAGTGCCTAACCCTTCTACTTTCCTCTAGTCCGGTCGATTAGCCTTTGTACTGTGAGCTATAAAATAATTTCGAAGATTTTGGCCAACAGAATCAAGTTGATCATGCCTCATGTTGTTAGCCCAATGCAAATGAGTTTCGTCTCCGGTAGATATATTACAGATAACATTATTGTGGCTCAAGAGGTCATTCATGTTGAGATATGATTCTAAGTTGACTGGGTTTATTGGGTCATGTGTTGTCAGTTATTTTTAATTATTATCAGTTTGTTTAATCAAATAAAACAAAGAGATAATGCTATACATGACTTCTGTTAGTGCAGTAGTGCTCCCAAATTCTTGCTTTTTTCAGTTGCTATGTATGCCTATATAGCCATAAAGTAAAAGCAATAAAGTATTTAACTTTTTTACTTCCATTTACTCTGCCTTTTAGCCAGCAAATCTAGTATCAGAGCCTAGTTTCATCCGTTGGGAAATATAGTGAAAAATGAGTTTTGGATCCACTGGGTATTTGAGTGAAACACTTTTTTAGGTTCCTTTGAGAGGGAAACACGAGAGGAGTGTGAGAGTAAAACAAAAAATGGCAACAAATGATATTTCATCTCCTTCACAACCGCTCTTACCAATTTTTGCTGGTGAAAAATATGACCTTTGGAGCATTAAGTTGAAGACTCTTTTTTTGTCTTAAGGTCTCTAGGACTTGGTGGAATTTGTTTTTATTGATCTAGTAGAGCCAAACGAGGAAGAGCAGAAAGATTAAAAGAAACCAAAAAGAAGGATGCAAAAGCTTTATTTTTGAATCAACAAGCAGTCCATGAAACAATTTTTTCAAGAATTGCTACAGCAACAATGTCGTCTGAGGCATGGCAGATCCTGAAGAAGAACTTCAAGGTTCCTCAAAAGTGATTACGATAAAATTGTAGACTTACCATCGTGAATTTGGAACTTTGTCTGTGAAAAGCAATGAATATGTTTTGAATTATTTGTCTACAGTCTCTTCTCTTGTTAATCAAATGAATTCATATGGCGAAGATATCTGAAGAAATTATTGCTGCAAAAGTTTTAAGGATACTTACTCTAAGGCCTGAACATGTTACTGCAATTTAGGAAGCCTATGTGTGAACCCCTCCCCCAAACATCACTGGCATATGAATGCATGTGACTAAGGACAGAAATGCACGTGAATGTATGAGTCGCCACCTTGTTTAATTAATGTATGAAGGTCGCCACCTTGTTTAATCTTATTTTTCGGGTTAAAATAGGAAAAAAACCCTAAATGATTCAATTTTAATTAACCTAAATTGGCTAGATTAATTATCCAATGATTAAAGGCACCCATCTTCGAACCGAGGGTGGGATCCCGAGACTATGGTCTGGTTGATAAACTAACCAAAAATTGGATTGCTTTGCAAGGGAAGATGAAGTAATTGACCATGAAAAATGTTTAGTGGATTTCGAACTTGCGCTCGGCGGTTAAATCCCAAACGTGCCTACGTACTTCGTTTGAATGGAAGATCAAAGTCAACGTAGTTCGATAGGGCCTCTTTAGAGGGGGCCTCTTTTAGAGGGCTTTGAATGGTATGCTTAATGCATGGGTGTGTGTATGCTTTGTGCATTTTGTTTAGGCATTTTGCCAGAGATTGATTGATTTTAGGCGTTTATTACCAAAAGATTCATTTTGAGGCTTTTAGCCAAAAGAGTTGATTTGGGCTTATTCTTGCCAAAATTGGTGTTCGGGCTTATTATTGCCGAAAATGATTTTTGTCGAGCGATTTTTCGTCAAAATCGTTGATTTTAAGGCTCCTAGCCAAAATGGTTTGTTTAGGCGATTTCATCGCCGAAAGTTGTTGATTTTAAGACTTTGAGCCGAAATTGATTGATTTTAAGGCTTCGAGCCGAAAAATAAGCAATTCGTTTTTGCTTAAAATGTATAATTTAGGCGATTGTCGCCAAAATGGTTTGATTTTGAGGCTTTGAGCCAAATGTATGTGATTAGGGCAATTTGTTTGCCAAAACGAGGTGATTGTGCGCATTGTCGCCAAAGTATTTGATTTTGATTTTAAAGCATTTGTGCCAAAATGATGCATTTTAAGCGATTTGTCGCTCGAAAGTGTTGATTTTAAGGCATTTGTGCCAAAATGGTTCATTTAAGCAATTTGTCGCTCAAAAGTGTTGATTTCAAGGCTTTGAGCCAAAATTGATTTATTTAGGTGATTTATCGCTCAAAAGATTGATTTTAAGGCCTTTGGCCAAATTATGTCGATTTAGGCGATTTGTTGCCAAAATTGTGATTGATTAAACTGTAGGCAATTTATTGCCATAAAAACGTGATTTGAATGAGGCCGTTAGTCACAATTATTGATTACAATTATTAATTAATTGGACTTTTAGCCAGATTTGTTCGAAATAAGGCGATTGAACCGTAGTTATTAATTGCTCTTTAGCCAATTATTGTCGGATATTGTCGGATTTAAGCTTAACTGCCACGATTATTAATTAATCGGGCGTTAAGCTTAATCAAATTAATTAAGGCAGTTTATTTACCAAAAATAATGATGACGTGGATGCATTTATGCAATTGTAGAATTATTAAGAGTAGGAGAGAAATATGCATGAAATGCTAAAATTAAATAGGCAGAGTTTTGTTTACATACCTGGTTTAATCGACGACCGCTTCTTAACTCCAGATTAAGCTCCTTGTTTAGGTATATTAATTAATTTTTAATTTTATTTAATTTTAGTGGTCAAATATCACAATAAAAATGCAAAAAACTAAATTAAAATGCAAAAAGCGGTAAAGAAAACGCAAGGAGCGTGAGAGGGAGAAGGATTCGTCTATCAAAACAGACAAGGCGCACCAAAATCTCTTGATTATTTGCTTATAAATAGCTTGAAAAAATTCATTTTCATTCATTCTAAACTTTCTAACCTAAGGAACTCTCTCAAAATCTCTCAACTTCTAAAGCTCCAAAATTCTTCTCTTTTTTTTTTTTCATGGCTTCCCCTGATCTGAGCGGTGAGGAGTACCTAGGGTCTCTGGGGATCTCGCTTGACGAGGTCAACCTTACGGCGGACGCTGACACTCACGCCTCCGTAACAGGCATCTTCGAATGTCAAAATTTGAGTATTCACACCATGCACGTTTTCTCTATCAGATTGTACTTCTCCTCTATAGGCAGTAGTTTCTTGCTAATGTAGTAGATTGCCTTTTCTACTCCAGCGGCGTGCCGCCCGTCGCGGGGCTGCCAGCCTCGCCCAGGCAAGGTGGGGCGGCAGGTTGCCGCCCAGGTTGGGCGGTCGTGCCTGTCCCGCCGGATTATATTGTGCGCCCCGGCTGGCCCGGAGTCGCCGTCTCGCGCTCGCTCGCCCGTGGCCGGGTGTTACACGTGCGCTCGCTCCGGGGGGCCTTTTTTGGGAGTTCCGGACCTTTCGACGAAAATATTCCGGACCTGGTTTTTTCGCGATTTCCTCGCGACATTCGGACGGTCTTTTAGAGTACCATATCGACATATTTTCGTGTTGCTCGACCGAAATAGCCTCCGGTCGGTGAACTTCCGAAATAGCCTCCGGTCCGGCCAGACTATTTGCAGTCCAGGAAAACAGGCTTTCTGAGCCTCAAAATTTGGGTATTCCCAGTTGCCCCCCACCATCGACCATAAAAATGATTTATGGGAGTCGGTGGTTGTCTGAAATGCAAATTTAGTAGGCGAAAATTGGACGCGTCCAGAAGACCCGCCTCTTGACTATTTGCTTATAAATAGCTTGAAAAAACTCATTTTCATTCATTCTAAACGTTCTAACTTAAGGAACTCTCTCAAATTCTCTCAACTTCTAAAGCTCCTAAAATTTTTTTTTTGTTCATGGCTTCCTCTGATCTGAGCGGTGAGGAGTACCTAGAGTCTCTGGGGATCTCGCTTGACGAGGTCAACCTTACGGCGGACGCTAAAACTCACGCCTCCGTAACAGGCATCTTCGCCCAGGTACGCCTCCTCTTTTTTTTTTTTTTATTTTTTTAGGGGCTGACAAAATGAGAATTGTGATTTTTCGGGCCTCTTGTGGCCAAAAAGAGAACCTTAGGCCTTCGTGGCCTGAATGTGCTTTTCTGGCCTTAGGCCGAATTGTGAATTGTCGGGCCTCTATGGCCAAAGTGGGATTTTCGGACCTTAGGCTGAATTTGTTATTTTCTGTATTTGCCGTTTTATTAGTATGCATGCTAAGATATTACTTTACCTTTTAGGATCCTTACATTAAATTGGATGTGGCTGAAACCTCTATGTTCGAAATCCCGATCGAGATAGTTTTATTAGTATGCATGCTAAGATATTATCCTTAGTAAAGAACCAAGGGACAATTCTTTTATTACTTTACCTTTTAGGATCCTTACATTAAATTGGATGTGGCTGAGAATTCTATGTCCGAAATCCCGATCGAGATATTGGATCTGAGCCACCCGGTCGGGGCAATCATCAATCCGTCCCGTCTGGGTTACTTGAGGCATTTTGATGCTGGCCGAAATAGTCACAAGGAGTTGCTGGGTGCTTGGCCGGGAGAGGATGGTGGGCACTTACTAACCACTTTTCATTTTTTCTTGCGGGTGAGATGACAATGGGACCCCTGTGGATTTTTTTCTGTTGATGACCGGATCCCTTATTGGTCATTTCGGTAGTATGGAATTATATAGATGACTGAAGAGGTCTGAGGACAGAGATTTTCCCCTGACTCGGACTGGCAGAGTTTGATCGGTATTTATAGACCCATGCCTCGGGTTGTCGGGGGCCAGGCTCTGCTACTCCAGCTGTTGAGCAGGTTTCTCAGGCGCTGGCCTATGATCTTTCAAGCCCCCGGGGCATTTATGCCTAGACATAGCCCGCGGGGCAGCAGCTGCACGGCTTAGCTCAGCTGTTGTGCCCAGATTCACTTTGTTGCTGCTTTGTTTCTTCGACCTTTTGGGCATCCAAACAGGAAAGAAAGGTTTAATCCTTTCTATCTTGAAGGAGTTTCGAAAACCTAGCCCCCTTCTTAGGAGTATGACTGGGCCGGCGCATAATTCTGAGTCGTTATGTACGGACGACATGTTTTTGAATCTGATCGGTAGGAGCCACTGTTAAACTTAGCGGATCTATTACTTCTGGGAGGTATGTGAGAACCATTCTGTATATTTTTCTATTTTATTAGCCCTCTTTTTGGACTCTCGTTTCTTCTTTTTGTTGAGATTTTGGGCATGTTGAGCATTTCTTACACTCGCCCGGAGGCAGTTCTGCAATCTCGCATTAGGGCTGGGCTGGTACCGTTGGCTTGGAGATGGTACCGAACAAACCTTCATACCAGTCGGCATAAGCACTCGCTAAAAGACCTGAGAACCTTTTTTGATACATGTAGCCCGACGCAGGTATGTGTTCAGTAATTCTGGAATACGTTGAATAAAAAAGATTTATCAACATATTTGCATCTTTTTTTTTTATTTATTTTTTTAGGTTGAAGTGGGGGCGATGGCCATTCGCCTACAGAGCTGGATCCAGGTTGATCCTCATTTCCAGCGATCAGATGACTTGTCTCGGCGGAGGGTGATCCTGTCGCATCCCGTCCTGAGACGATACTACTTGGGCGAGAGAGTAGACTTTCAAATAAGAGGCTGTCGATTGAGGAGTAGACTTTCAAATAAATCCGCGTCTATGATATCACGAGCGGGCCTGTCGTTCCTCTCTCTCCCTATTCCGCGGGAAACATTGGCGGAGATCGTTGAACACACCTACGGCGGGCAGGCGTGCAGATACGCGCTCGCTCTCGCAGACCGCATGCGTCACTCTCAGGAGTGGTATTCCTCGATATCGGATGAGGTCCATCTTGGGAGGGAGATGCATATTCCTGAAGTGCTCTAGCGCTTTATTCTGACACTCTGCAGGTGATCGCGCTTGATAATTTTCAAAAGATCAGGCTCCTTTCCATTCGCCCGCCAACTCGCCCTCTTCTCGTGGAGATCGCGGTCATCTTCGAGCAGGACCTCCAAAGAGGAGGCCTCTGACGACTCGTCCCTGAATTCCTTCTTACTCTATCTCGTGAGCTCGAGGTGTTCATCTCAGAGTCGGGCCCTAGGCCAATTGCGGCCCGGCCACTTCCAGGGCTCCCGGGCTGTTGGCAGAGGCTTACCCGGGAAGTTAACTTCATGTCAGACTTGGCCAATATTACGTCTTCCGTATAGCTTTCCTACCATCTCTGACGGCCCATTTAGCCTTTCGAGAGGTCTGCTGCGAAAAAAAGTGTGGATCGCTTTTAGCCTTTCGAGAGGTCTCGCTGGGAAATGTGGATCGCTTGGCTCTGCCTTCTGAGGACATTACTGAGGTAAGTAAAAACTGCTAAATCTCTCACAAAAACGATTCATAAAGAGATTTGACGTTCATTTGCATTTTTTTTTTTATAGGTTCCTGTTGGATTGATCAATCAGATGATGGAATTGATGCTTGGGATGCAACAGGAAATGTCTTCGTCCTGGACTCGGGAGGCTTACAATGATCCGAGAAGGCAGAGGCCCCGTCGCTGAAGCCATGATTGCCGGATTTTTCTGTTCTTCTTTCTTTCTTTCTTGTCTGACTACTGTACTAAACTTTACTTTGATTCGTACTGTCTGTACTGATATCGTTGTACTGAGCTTTTATTTTTGTACCTGCCTTGGTTAGTATTTTGAATATAATGTATGCATGTTTATTGTATTTGAAAAACAAAAATGGGAGGACTTCATCACTTTTTTTTTTCTTTTTTTTTTGCGTGGCAGGCCTGCCGCCATTTCATTTAGTGGTCAATTTGGCGGTTCGCTGCCGCGTTCATTCGGTTGGCAATTCGGCGGGCTGCTGCTGCTATCATTCGGCGGCTGCTGCCGCCCCTCATTCCGGTTGCTTTTTCTCCTATAAAAGCCTAGTTCTTTTGTTTCGGGCTCTTCACTCATTCCTTATACTTCTCTCTTCTTCTTTTTCTCTCTGTTTTATCTTTTTCCAAAGAATAATCCTTTCTTTTCAATCATAGCATGCACAGCTGGCTAGGAGTCGCTCCAAAGTGAAAGATCAACTTTGAAGAGGTCATGGCCTCTCTCCTATCATTACCCTAGGCAGCGTAGTCGATCGACTGGAACCTTTTAACTTGAAGAGGTATGGCCTCTCTCCTATCATTACCCTTAGGGGGGTAGTGATCGACTGGAACTTTTTATGGGCCTGTATCAGACTCTGGGAACCTGAGGCCCACGTTTTCTGGTTCGGAGCTATGATGGAAGAGATGTGCCCTCTTTTCGAGGAGTTTTGTGCTATCATAGGGTGTGACCCTAATGCCCTTTAGTCAGGCATGAGGTTAAAGTTGGGTATGTTCGGTCATTTGAAAATTTATTTCAATTCAGCCGGCCACAAGCTAAGACCATGATTGTTGACGACCAGAAGGCGATTCTCTGACCTGATTGATGAATTTTCAGAGGTCCGTTCGGATGACCCAGACCGGATGAGGCTTAGGATGCGAGCCTTTGTATTCTGCTTATTATCTGGTTTCTTGTTTAACAAGGATCCAGGCTTCGGAGATCTGCGATTTTGTCCTATGATTCGACAAATGGAGGACATGGGTTGCATTGGTGGCATTGTGCTAGCAGAAACTATCAGGAGCCTTGACAAAGCTGCTTTAGGCTTCGAGGACTGGACGGTTTCCCCGATTATTCTCCAGGTACTTCTCCTCTCTTCTTTTCCCTATTCTTTGTTTTGATTCATTCCTTTGTAATAGAAAAGATCCATTACTCAGGTTTGGTTGAAGGATGGTTTGAGGACCACCCCCAAGTGGTTGCTGCTCCGATTTTATTGCCACTATACCCCTGTCCAGTATCGTATGCGGAAATTTTTGATTACATACCCGTTCCGTTGATGCCGTGGATTCATTGGTTTAATTGAACTAGGTCCAGACGAGGTGTTGTGGTTCGTACTCTTGGTATGATATCAACCGGTTTATTCAGGTTAGTTTTCCGCCATAACTCAGGTTTTACCTGCTGGCCTTAACACATTGCAACTCTGGTACTATGCTTCGCGAGCGTGTCTGAGACAGATGGGGATTAGATCAGATCTGTTTCCGACCATGGATGATTCCCCTAG